GCATAAAGAGAGAACACGAAGAAAATGACAGACCACGGCATAAAGGGAGAACACGAAGAAAATGACAGACCACGGCATATTATGACAGAGGACGACATCTTGCGACAGACCACGACATATCACAACGAAAAATCGAGGGAAAGTGATACACTGGATGGCGACAGAGGTCGAACAGCGGACAATAAAAAAAAATATAGTCTAGACGAACACAAAGGTCATTCAACGGACAATAATAACGATCAACCTATTTTTTCATGAATATTTCAGAATCGTTCCCGTAAATTCTTATTTACAATTTTTCAGGTATTTATTTTTGCGAAAAGGTTTCACCAAAAACTTTATGCAATTTTTTTTCACTCATAGAATAATATTCCAATTATTTTCATATTTATATTTTAGAAGACTGTTCAAAAAATTTTTTCAATAACTATTTATAGTTTATTTTTCCAAATCATTGGAAGATTTATTTTTAACAAAAAAATTAAAACTTTGCCTCTGGAAAATACAATCAACAAGTTACTTTCATTTTCTAAAAATAATACAACAGTTTTTCTTTTCTACAACTTTGTTTGAATTCACACAGAAACAGTTAAAAACACTAATCTCAATATTCAAAAAACATCGGTCAAAATTCAAAGCTGTTAAATACAATTATCAAAAAAAACAGTTAACAAATGATATTCGGAAATATACTCAATTTATTTTTTACATTTAATTACAGTGGTTCGGAAAACTTTCTTAATTTTTTTACATTTCATATCTTCAAACAATTATTATACTGCATTCGAACATTTGCATTCTATTTGAAATTTTTAAGGATTTTTCGAAACGTAATGTTCGAAAATTTTGTATAGCTAAATTGATTTTTGTTGTATTTCAGTATCGTCTTTTTTGTTCGCAAGTATATTCACAAAATGTTTCATCTAATACTATAATGAATATCAGTAGTGGAAATCGATAATTTTTTTTCTGTTAATTATAATTGATCCTATATTCATGATAGGATTGTGTGAAAGTCTCATTATAAATTCTTTGCATTTAGAGTTCAAGTGCTTTACATTCAATGTTTCTTTTCTAACACATTTTTATCTTTCAACTTGCAGCCATCACGGTGGAAAAAACAACTTTGAGTCGAAAAACAAAAAATATCCTATTGGTTTGACGTTTCAGAATTTCATTCAGTTTACTTGATAGTTTTCAAGATTGTATCTTCTGTTTCAAGATATTGCGTATTTTCGTATGGCATTCTCGTTTTTTCACCTATCAGTTTAATATTATCGATCATTAGAAGATTATCGAATTTGTTTGAAAGTCTGCAAGACTGTATATGCTATATGAGGTAATTGCGTATTTTTATAAAACCTTATGGTCTTTTGACCTCAAACAAATGTGCTTAAGTTCGTTATAATGTATACTATATTCTCTGATTGTTTTTAAGTCTATAGCATTCAGTAAAATCCGTTGGGTTTTTTTGCATTTAACACCCAGTAGGTTTTACAAGATTAGGGTTTTATGATGTTCAACATATATATTTATGTTTGTTATGATTTATACTATATTCTCTGATGGTTTTTAAGTCAATCTCATTAAGTAAAAAACGTTGGGTTTTTGCATTTAAAAACCAATAGGTTTTTCGAGATTAAGCTTTTGTAACTTGTAACATATATATTTATGTTTGTTATGATTTATACTATATTCTCTGATGGTTTTTAAGTCTATATGATACAGTAAAAAACGTTGGGTTTTTGCATTTAAAAACCAGTTGGTTTTCCGAGATTAAGGTTTTGTAACTTGTAACATATATATTTTTGTTTGTTATGATTTATACTATATTCTCTGATGATTTTTAAGTCTATATCATTAAGTAAAAAACATTGTGTTTTGCATTCAAAAACCCAGTAGGTTTTACAGGATTAGGGTTTTATGATGTTCACCATAAATATTTATGTTTGTTATGATATATACTATATTCTCTGATGGTTTTTGAAGTAGACTTTGGCAAAATTGTCACGGTCTTGCTCACTCGCGACAGTGACTACGACTAGTTTTTGAAAAATTATCGTGAGTGGGATCGTGACCGTGATGTGACATGACTGAAAACTCTTGGTCACCCAGAAGTCTTTTGTTGATCGAATGTTACAGGTACATGATTTTTTTTTTCTTTTTGTTCATAAATGGAAAATATAACAATATACAAAAAGAAAGAAACAAAGTGAAGAAAAGAACAATATTTTAATAATTATTTAACATTCCCAGTCATATGAGTCGTAAGGATCATAAGCAAATGGTGATGGTGGTAACGATTCGGTGGGAAGTGAACCATTATCTTCATTATTATCGTCATCAGTCAATAAATAATCTTCTGATATTGTTGATGAGAATTCAGATTCACTACTTTCACAATCAGTCGATGTTTGATTGTGTTCGTCGTTGTCACTGTGTACAGTAAAAGAAATTTTTAGGATTATATTAGTACAAAGAAAAACAAAAACGATGTTTTATTAAACAATTTACTTCTCATTTATATTTTCAATTGGACGATCAATCAGAATCAATCGACGAGAAAACGGCAAAACAAGCTAAATTTTACGAAAATTTTATTATCATTAGAAGAGATATCTTATTGTCTGTATTACTCTTCCATTTTCATTGACATCGAGTAGTTGAATTAATTGCCAATACATATAATTGTTGTTTTTGCTACTATTCTATAAGAGACCGAATGTTCAAAGTCATCTTTTTTAATTCATTTAATTTGTTTTTGTTTTTTTTTTGTCTTACTTCTTGTTGTTGTAATGGTGTAGACGACATAAAATTTTTTTGTTTAATAGAACTAGGAATATATTTTGTAAATAGATATATATCTAAAATACACAAAAAAAGCATCGTTAAATAATTCTAGTTCTTTATCAGTAAACATTCTTTTTCTCGAATACATTGGTGTTCATTACAGTCAATGAGATTGATATATTAATCTAAAGAAGTGTGACCTATTGGTATCAGTTTCTAAGACAAAGTCAAGAAAACGAGAATCGGTAGATGTGAGAAGTTGTCTTTATACTATTTTCAAGTTCTGAAAGTGTTTTAAAATGAAGCGAAGAACACGCAGTCAGAGACAACGTACACGACAAAAGTATGGAATTTGATAATGTTAGCTGTAATTTTGTGCCATCTATTCAACCTAATTATCTCTTAACTCAACTTCACTTACACGTAATATTGCCCCATACCTATCTACAGTTTCAAAGTTTTATTCTACAAAAATACATACATCTATATTTACACGTTTATTTTACATTACAATTTCAAAGTTTCATAAAGAGTCAATACCAGTTGTGAATTCTCTTTTTTTGTTTTTGTCTAGTTTGTATGATGATTGGAATTTGCTTGTTCACTAGAATCTTGTTTCTGTTGTTTCACATCTGTCTGTTCCTATTTTGTTTTTTTTGGAATGTCAAAAAATAATCATGTATTTAGAAAAGTTTCAAATATAAAATACATTCATGTTTGTATCCTACATACTTTTTCACCTAATGACGATGTTTTACGAACATGTGAATTAATAGGTTTTGATTTAAAATTAACTCGACTGTTACTTGCTAATGGCGACTTCTTTTTAGTTTGTTGAGTGTTATTTGTCCATGATGACTGACGATAGGGAGCACGCATTAATTCAGCACGTTTACAGACATTCTTAAGTAACTGTGTTTGTTGTTTAACACTCATTTTGTATATTTAATTGTTTGTAAATTTTCTAGTATTTCGTTAGATAACAAATATTGAAATGTGTATTTGAATCAACTAGGACGGCTGCATCGAGAACTACAGGATAATTAATTTATTCTCTTTTTTTTCTATGAAAAATCTTTATCGTATATACTGATTATCTAGGAGAGAGATGACCCTATTCATATTGAAAACATGAGGTATCGGTCATGAAAACAGAAGAACCGAAAAAAAATATAGTGATATTATTCGCATTATGTTAATCCAGGAAAGAAAATATTTTGAAGGAAAGAAAGATATTCAGAATAAACGAAGAAATGATAGCGCGATTAAATATAGACAGACGACATCGGAATAACGGTCATACCCTGGATGAGGACAGAGGTCATACAGAGGATAACAGGAAAGGTCACTGTCTAGACAGAGACGAATTCGTTCTATCCTAGTTCAGTAGTCAACGGTCAAATTTTTTTTTTCAAATTAGAATGCCCAAACGTTTCTGAAAAATCACAAATTACTTTATAAAATTATTTTGAAATGATTCCGAATTCTGACCAACGTTTTGAAAAAAAAACTGTACAATATATTTTTTTTGAAATGATAGAGAAATCTTCTATGTTATCTTTCAAAAATTTCATTGATGAGCATCTTACAATTCTTTTTTTTTGAATTTCTCAAAATACATGCAATATTTTTGTCTTGAATTTTTGATCAAATCATAAGATGTTGGTAGATATTGTAATTGGTTTTACAAAAAAAAAAGAACACAATAAACATTGAAGCAGACATCTGTATTGATAATTATGGTTGTAATGATGTCGTTAAGGAGATAGCGAAGCTCATGAAAAGAACAATGATACTTATTCCAAACGGTATGGAATGAAAAAAAAAACTTTCTATGCACTACAGATTGTAAAAGCATGTCTGAATACAATACTCAGTTGACAAGTAGATAATACATGGCACCAATGATGACATCAGTAAACATTCAAAGGTTCTTATTGATTCCAATTAAAATGAATAGAAATAAATGTCTGAAGCATGCATCTAGAATTCAGAATTAGTACATTAGTAGACAACAGTTAAATATATTTTATTCTCGTCAATCATTTTCTTTTTTTTTCCTTGTAGTAAGAACAAGTTTTTATAAATAAAAGAGAATCATGTTGCGGTTTTTTTTTGCATATATTTTTTATTCCTATATAGTGTGAGAAATGAATGACAGTATGCATTCTTATCTTGAGAGTGATGTCAAAAACGGTATTGTTCAACTTTATTGATATTCAAAATAGTAATACATGGCACAAAACAAAATGAAAAATGGGTGAATTTCATAACTTCAAGAACCTTAACAAATGTACTAGTTTAATTACTATCATCATCAGATGTATGCTCATGTTGATTTCGTCGAGCATTAAAAAACCAAACAGTAACACCATTTTCAAGTTCAATTTGATCAATTATTTGATTTTCTATATCGTCATAGCTGTCATATTCGTCGGAATTCATATCGTCAGATGGATAGTCCACATAGGATTCTTCATCAGAATCATAGTTAAAATTAAAAATTTGATTTATATTCGTATCAGCATTAATATCTAACAAATAGGAATTCAATTTATCTATATTTGTTATTAAACGATCACGAATATTATGATCAATGTTTAATTGTTCAATACGTTGATTTAAAAGTTCAATAAATTTTGTTTCGATTGTATTTCGATGGTTCAAAAGAAACATCAAATGTTCATATGGTAAATCCTTATCGAAAAACAATTGATTCAGCATGTCGTTCATAATTTTATTCAATTCAACATAAACATGTGGACTTATATGATGAAGATTAATATTGTCGGACGAATTGAATAAATCGGACATCCACTTATTTATCGACATGACGCAAACAAGTCGAATTTCTAAATGAATGAAGATAAAGGAAACTTCATGATTTCATATTATTTTAATTTATATTATTTTTCTTCTTCTTCAGTCTATCTCTATCGGTTTTTCGTCGGAGTAAATTCACATGGATCCAGTACAGACTTTCTTTTATTTTTTTTTCGTTCCGTCTATAATGATTTTCAGCCTAACAAAATGAACACGTAACTAACTAAAATTGTATTCTTTTTTATTTTGATGGTTAACAGTTACGCGTTTAATATATGTTGAATGTATCCATTTCTTTGCGAAAAAAACGGTGACATCTCTCACATGGCCTAACCATCTGAATTTAAACAATTATGTCTTTGCGTTGATATGATTGTTTGTTTTTGTCGATACAAAGGATCAGATACAATGTTTTCACTGAACATCTACCGTTGAATTGCAGTTTGTTGTGAACTTTAATTTTTTTCTTTCTTAAACTCAAAATGAACTTTAATTCTCTTGAATCTCGATTTTGTTCAATGATGAAGATTTGCTTTAGAATATATAATTTGTGACACAGCAGCGAATCTATACAGATAGCAAAGGTGAATATCGAACACAAGAACTGATGAAAAAAAAAACTGTGTATTTACATTAGTTTTCTGAGGAAAAAGATGAGCCCAACGTTAGAGTATATATCCGTCTAAGCAAATCATACAGACATTTCAAGAAAAAGTAAAAGGTATACATCTTATTTTCGGTTCCCTGATAACAGTATCTGAAAAAAGGGTTAAATCTAGAAAAACAAAAGAGAAAACGTATATAGCTATTCTTTCAAAAATATGAACTGTTTCACAGGCAACAACCAGAGAAAAAAACAAAGGAAAAATAAATGGCAACAAGTTTGTTGAAATAGAAAATTCGAATACTATTTTCAATCATTCAAGTTCTACAATCATCCGATCATTTAGACGGTGACGGGTGGACTTTTTCATAAATAACCATATCCACGTCTGGTATTGCTAATGATGGAATAATCGCTGCTGTTGTTCTTCCAATTGTATAAGGTTGATTTAAGGCTCTCATTGAATGATGTGTCGATAATGTAAATGATAGATCATAAGATGTATCTTGATGATTGGAAGAGACCGGTTGAGCAGATGGAATGGAGCCTGATTCAGCATCCATATCTCTAAAATGTATTTGTATACTTCAATTTGATTGATGAATATTGATTTACCTTTTTTTTTTGTCTTGGGTCAATTATTAATAGTGATTTATTATACACTAATATAGACTGAAAATATGTTTTTGCACGGAATGCTATAGGAATATATATCTAGAAAAGGAAAAGAGAGCTCTAGAAACTTCAACATAGAGTGAAAAAATATATGAACAAAAAAATAATAACACGAGGAAAACAAGTCTTCACATTGTATATCTGTACAACACTATCAGATTATAAGTACAACTACATAGGCATTGATATAAATCATCCGTTTGTTGTATTATTCTGAAGTTGTTGGCCATGGTAAATCTATAATGATATATGAATTCATTGGATTGAAATCATTTATATAATCAATAGGATCATAGTTTTCGTTGTTTTCGTCCACTTTTTCGGATGTGGTTTGATTTTCTTCTATTTGTGATAGGACTTCTTGTTCTTCTCGACGCTCTTGTACTTCACGTGCCATAGTTGTACTAATATTGGGAGTAGAATCAGATATTGATTGTTCGATCTAACATTTCATATAGATAAATAAAAAGAAAATGCTCTATTCAATAGTTTTCGTTTCAATCTTATACTCCTTTACCGAACATCGTGGAATTCTCACGTAACATTTCATACAATCTTCCAAATTGACTCTCACATCGGTTGTTCGAAGCTGTTGACTTAAATATCGATTCTCATTGTCGGGACTGTTTGCCGATGAATTGATCGAATTCGGTGATCGTACAGGTGACTATGAATGAGAAAGAGAGAGTGTGTGAATCAAAACCGTATTCCCTTTGAAATATGTTGGGTTGCTTACTTGAATTAATAATGATGTCTGTTGAACATTGTTCTGACATGTGAACATAGAATTATCTAAAGTAGATCAGCAGTAGAAAATGCAGTCATACATGATAGCTGATTGGATGATACCTTGAGTAGGATGTAATTCAAGTTGTTCTTGTGAACCGTTGGACATTATTTTCAAATGAGCTCAATGCTGTGGATAAATATCTAGAAGAGACAAAGCACAACAAAGACTTAATTCGGTTGCACTGTAAACAAGTTCTAGAAGATTTCATAAAATGACACAGTTACATTTTTTCACTATTCAATTCATATTTCATACGATATGTTTTAACAAAAAAAAATACAAAGGAAAAAAATACACAAATGACAAACATATGGATGGTCGGTTGCTTCATATTCGAATTTTTCATCTAAACAAAAGATTTCAAAAGAATTGTGACTAAGATTATCTCAGTGATGAATTCGACATACTTCTTGAAATAACTAAGGTTTTCCATAGGTTGTTTTTCTACAATGCAAAATAATGAGAAATTTCTTTTCAAAGTCAAAACTGTACACAAAAAAGAAGGATGACAATAGAATCGTGTATGATTCAAATCAAAAACAAAAAAAGCGACTACTATCTGTCGTGTCAATATGACAAACAATAAATGTACACGAACAGAGTTGGGCAAAAAAAAAACGTCATTGTTGAACTGGAGGTGATGGTGGTTCCATTGCTAAGAGACTATTCAATGAATGAAAATGTTTAGCTTGTAAAATAATTTTGCACTTTTCTTGGGATAGTTTTGGATGTTGTTGAAAATAATGAAACCAAAGTTGATAAAATTCTCGATTGAATCTACATCGTGGTCCAAAGTCATGAATATAATTGAATTGAATTAAACGATCATTTTGATCGAATTTTCGAAGTTCTTGTGTAAGTTCTTGTCGTTGTTCAACAAACGTAAACCATTGTTGACGAAAATTATCATAGGCACTTTGACTTCTTGAAAATCGTAATGTTTGAGCATGAAAATGATTAAAGAAATGTTTAACATGAGTTTCAACAAATAATAATGAATAGCCATTAATAAGAAGTGTTAATTCCAAATAAGTTCGTTCTTGTTGAAAATCTTCCACAGATGTACAATAACAAACAGCACGAATTAAAGCTGATTGGAGCCAATCACTATAAGCTGATTTCGAATGACCGATAACATATGGTAATGTATAACGTGGAATATTGGGATCATAATGAACTCGACTGTATAATTGTCCTTGTCGATTTTCGAGATATGCATTCATAAATTGAACACTTGAACCAATTAATTTTTGAAAACGTACATTCAAATGTTTTTCTCGAATATCTTGTAGAAATGTTTCAAGTTGAAGAGCATTGGATTTATTCCATGTAAAAAATAGTTGATCATTATGTCTAGAATAATCCATACAATATTATCAATAAAAATGCATCACTCTATGAAAACAACAACAATATTGAGTAGATTACCTTCCAAAAAATTCAATATTTTGATCGATTTCTTTCAATAGTTTCTTTTGCCATACAAATAAATAAATATTTGACAATGTTGTTGTTAAAGGCATTGTATTTGGACCGCCTTTGGTAAATGCATATATGTTATCTTTGTAACGAAAAATATTATTATAAAGAAATAAATATAATAGATTTCGAATTGTTTGAATGCTTAATGGTTCAAGTCTGTTTGTAACTAAGTTATCTTGTAAACAATAACCAATGACATCGATCATATGTTGATGTTCATCTAACGCATAAAAGTTGGTTATTTTAATCGAACAAAAGAGTGTTGTTGGACGAAGACGACGTTCTGTATTGGCATAATGATAGAATTTTCGAATAAAATCCGTTTCATCGGCAAATGTAGTTGAATGTAAAATTTTATCGACAAAGGGTTGTAATAATTGATTTAAATATTTGGCGATTTTCCACGTCGCACTTTGATGAGATGTAATGATGGGTACTAGAGAAATGCCACTCTCCTAAATTCAAAAAGAAAAAATAAAATCAAGCAATGTAGAAATAGTGAAGAGAATAGAAATGTTTTGTTACTTTGGATATATTCGGTAAGAAATATAAATAAGGTAGTTTCGTTTTTGTGACATCAGCAATGAATCGTTTGTATAAATCATCTTTGATGGCTTTATGTGTTTTTAATTGTTCCACTAAAGTATTCATCGAATCAATCATATCTTTTAATGCAACATCCAATGGTTTATCATTATTTTCAGCATTGATATTGATGAGAACACGATAATCTTCTGATCTTGTTAAATATTGATCCGCTTTAGCTTCGAAATCTTGTCGATTGCCTATATAGAACGTGTTCATATTATCAGCCGTTCGTCGTAATATAAGATGATGTTTCTTGAAAGCACTATGAATCGATTGAATTAAACTCTTTTCGTAGAGAGCACGTTGTGAAAGGCTGGATGGTATTGATTTAGAAAAGCAATTTTTAAATTCTTTAAAAATTGTATCTTGAATTTCCATTCGTACGGCTAGATTAATTTTATGCTTTTCCAAAAGAGTCATTAATTGATGATTGAATGGTGCAAATTGTTTCTTGACAATATCATCGATGGATTCATTTGAAAATAAAACATACATTAAACAGGGTGGTACATAACTGGGACCACGACTTAATAATTGTAATTGTTCATGAGTGAATGGATGAGTGGTATCGAGAATGAGAGCCGATGATGCGGTCGTAATTTTCATGGTTTGTTCATGTCCATGATTGTTGTTGAGATAATCTAATTCATCATAAGAATATCGTAGAAAATAGTCAATTCTGTAATTGAAAATATCACGCCATCGATTGGTCATTTGTGTGAGACGTTGTTCCAGTAAATGAGTAAGTGCCGTGGTCATTCCTTGATTTTTAACTAAGGTACGATGATTTTGCCACATGCGTGCCAACTCCACATCAAATAGATGTTGAAATCGATAATAGGTTAATTCAGCTTCTGGTATATGTATAGCTAATAAATCAAGTTTCTGATATCGGAGACGTTTTTCATCGGTATTTAATAATGATGGTGGCATTTTATTATTGTTCATCGTCGTATCCATTGATGTTGATATGGATGCCTGAATAGATTGAAAAGATAAGGATGATTTATTGAAGAAGACACCTTGTTTTAATTCTAATAAGGCCCGTTTGGATTTTTCGACGTCTCGTCTTAATTCGAGAAGATGTTTTGCAATTTCCAACTATACAAATATATAAATAAATAAATAAATAAATAAAAAACAGAGTCGAGGCAATCCTCCTATATGATTTGAGTATCTCACTCACTTGATATTCATTGGGATTTTCTTGTAAATATTTACGTTCGAGTATTTCAGATTCGAAATCATGGGTGACGATGGATTTTCTCATTTCATATTTGACTTGGAGTGGTTGAACTCCATATTCTTGGACATAGTGTTGTAGAGTTTCGTCCATCATCGATGTAAATCCTTTGAATGATTTTTTCTTTTCATTCAATTGTTGTTGATATTGTTGCATGTGTTCATTCAATTCAAGTATACGATCTTGAAGTAAACGTTCACAAGTAGTTTGTTGTTCAGCTTGATTCATTTCAGTTGTTGCTACGCTGCTGAATGGACGTTTGGATAAGACAAGTGCTTGCACTTGCATGGGCCAAACACGTCGATCAACTTCGATTAAATCACATTCTGGTTCTGTTAATGTGCCGGTGACGGATTTCAAGTAGATATGGCTCATCTCTTCCTTAATACGAAGAGCGGCAATTTGATGCATGAGTAAAGCCAATTGTTGTAGATCATTCATCGTCATTGTTGGAACTGTTTTTAATAGATTTTTACAGAGTCGAACAAATATGGTACTATTCATAGATAAATAATTTGGTATGTGATTTTGTTGGATATCATCGACATTCAAACTATCATCATCGTCGTCGTCGTCAGCATTATAATCAGATATTTTCATTCGCTTAGAACAGACAGCTGGACTAGGTCGAGAACTGGAACGACGTTTTTTGTCCATGGTCGCTGATGGATAGACTTCAGCATGACCGGTGGTCGATAATTGACTTAGTTTTTGTGATAAAATTGTTTCATCATCGTCTTGGTCATCTTGTTCTTGTTCGATCAGCTAAAGAATATAATGAAAAAGAATTGTACGACTTAAGAGTGAACAAAAGATTGGTTTACTTCATTGTGCTCGAAAGCATGGAGAACAGTATCATCAACAAATTCTTCTGTATAGGTGATTGATGGTAATTGACCAGAAAGAAAGTATTGATTTAATGTGTCTTTGGAGAATTGAAGTCCATCATTTGTTTCGTCAATCATATCAAATAGATTATGATATGGTTTCTTGATTGTTGACGTTGAGTTTGGATTTGCACGAGCCATGAATGGATCAAAAGAAACACAAAGTAATAGATATATCTGAAATATAGCAGAAAAACGAATTCACACAAAAAAAAAACAAGTGTTCAAAGTCCAGAAAGGCTAAGGGTAAAGACAACGGTGTCTCTAAGTTTTTTTTTCAATACACTTTCAAAAGAAAACAGTCGACTGAGTCACTCTCCGTTGTAGTAGAAGTTACAAAAACACAAATAGAACATCACACAAAACTATACTACAGATCGATCGACACTCATGACCTGTTTATTGTTCAGTGAGATCAAGAAAATATTTGAGAGGTAATGGTCGTGTCGTATGTTGCATATAGCCTTGAATGAGTTGTTTTAATTGAATGATGAATTGATCGTCCAATGATGTGTCTTGTTCTTCATTCTTGACAGAGGATTGTACCGTCTGATTGATCAGTGACCGTGCAGTTTGATGTTGCTCTTCTCGATGTACTTGCTCTGGTTGATTACTCTGCAAAAAAAAAAAGACAATAACCTAAGACCGATTTCTATCACCTTCAATAGTATCATTACTTGGTTTGGAATGTTTCCTTGTCTTCGATGTAAAATTCGAGACCATCTTGGATTATTGAATATCACAAGACAAAACTGTTGACGTTGACTGTCAGCAGTAGTAGATGTGGGCGCCTTGGGCATAGTCGAAGGTGGTGGTTGTTCACTCACGGTAGATAATTCCATAGGTTCCATTTTACAACTATTGTGAACATTGTTGTTGACATCGGGATCATCCACTTGGATTGAAGATTCACCGAATAAACACATAAGAATATCATTTAAATCTTTCATATCGCATTCCATGATTGAATGTTGATCGTCGATGGTGGAAACGAATCTAGAATCAAATAGACAAATTACAAACAAGTGGGGGACTGAGTCACAGAATATAATGGGCAGTGTCCTAGTGTTTTAGAGTGGATTTTACTATCAGTTTTCACATGATGATATACAACAAAAAAAAAAGTACAAAAAAGAGAGAGAACAAAAGTATCTAGAACATAGGAACTGGTCCAATTCTTATCGCTGTGGTTGTACGTTGGACAAATCGAAGACTAAATTTATTGGATATAAACGTTGAGTTCGTTGAAGATAGGCTCGAACACATTCTTCTAACTCGAATCGTAATGTATTGTATAGTATTGTTTCATGTTCTTCGGTTTGAGCTCTGCCAATATGCATGGGTCGATTGGGTATTAACATTCCACCACGACGTCGTTGCTCCCATTCCTAGAGTCCATAAAAAGAGAGAGAGAGAGAGAGAATTTTTGCTAAACTGAATCGTTTATTACGTGATTGGGTGAATGTTGATAGGTTTGTGTATGTTGCAATAGATTTGGATAGTTGGTTAGAGTAATAATAAAATATTAATGTCCAGTAGCACATGCTGATGGAATTGGAGTTGAAAATCGATTCGATGAATTCATGACGACGAGTAAATAATCTACAACAGATACAAAAAAAGAAAGTACGAAATGCAAGATTGATCATTGCATTTGAATTTATGTATGTGTGTCTCTCTACCAAACCAACAGAAAACGGTAACATGTTTACTATGAGCAAATCACAAGAAAAAAAAAACAATACGGATGACAGGGTCTATTATATCCATCATGATGGTTCTGTATTAATGTCGGACATATCAAAGACATAATGAATTGGATAGGATCGACGCGTTCGTGTTAGATAATCCCTGGCTGCGTCTCTTAGATCCACACGTAAGAGATTGGTGAGTATTTGTTCACGTTGATTGTTATTGTTGCTATTGTTGTTGTTGTTAGGATTCATTGTAGTATTATTTGTAACGATGTTGGGTCCTGGACCGGTTGGTCTTTGTATATTTTGTTGAATCTAAAAAGTAATAAAATATAACAGGTATACACACTCTTTCTTCTAAAAGTCCATGCTGAACACTATGAAATGCTTGTGCAAACCAATGATGAGATTTTTTCGAATCCTATCTTGTTCCTACCTGTGTTTGAAATGCTCGAGTGCCTCGTAATAAATCAGGATTATTCGTCAGAACAAAAATAAATTGTCGCTGTGGAGCACTGGCTGATCGATGCACATATAATGGACCAACGGTTTGTGTCGGTCTTGATGGTCGTGTACTCGTTGAACGCTGATGTGATGATGACATCTATGTAAGAATTTTGATTATCTGAAATAGAAAGACGGTAAAGTTAGAAAAAATAAATAATGTGGTTGCTGCTGCCTTCGTAGTTGTGATAATTGAAAAAAGAAAAAACCAAAAGAATTAAACTATAAAAAATGATTCTTTCATCAGAATCATTTAAATCTTTTGTACAGTTCATTCAAACTATGTGCATAGAAATGAAATAAGCACAAAAAACAAGTTATAGAACCACTCTCATACAGCTTGTCTGTATGTTACTTTTTTCTGTGAGTTGCAATCCATACAACTGTCCTGACATGCACACTGACTCATGTCCATCGGATTGAGGTAGATAAATATGGGATCCGTAATGGGTCGTCGTTCTTGTACTTTAGCAAGTCGTTTCGAAGACCAGACGGGTTTCGGCGGATGTGATGGTGTCGATAATGGATAATCGAACAAGATTCGATGTTTCTAAAAAGATAAACAAGAGAGAGAGATAGTGTAACGTAGCTCATCATACTTCTTACCGATTTCACTTCCAATGTACGATCACTTTGATCGCACGCATTTGGTGACGATGAACTACTTCCCATCAAAACACAAATATATATCTACAATTGGCACAGAAATGTTCACGAAAAAAAAAGGAGTACTTTCGTTGTATGTTTTCACAATCGAAAGGAGAATGATGAATTTCCTTGAAGAGCCAACAATTTCATAGTTAAAGTTAACTGAAACAAAAGTAAAAAAAACTTTCATATACAGATCACTCAAAACGATAATGTCAAGTGTGAATGAATTTTTAATTCAGTATTGAGTTCCGAAAATTTAGGTTGATATTGTAATTTTTGGTTCAGGTCGACGTAATAAACCTTGACACCATTCACTATTGCGTACGAACCAAGGATCATTCATCGGATAGTGATCATCATTTTGATTCTCATTCAAAACATTCCCAATAGAATTGAGTTTCGCATCGGCATACGTAATGAATAAGGATTCAATGGTAAAACGAAACATATCTGAACATGATTCTGGTACTGAAAAAAAAAGAAGCAAGAAAATATCACCGATATTGTTGAAAATGTTCGCATGTGTGTTAGATACGTACAAACAGCGACGATCGACGCATTGTATAAATCAATATCTTGATTTGGCAAAGTCTTATCTCGAAGCTTATGAAAATATTGTGTTTGTAACATGATTTGTCGATTCGAGAAGGTATATCCATTCAATGGCTTTGGAACTGCTTCCACACAAACTCGACAATCGCCTTTGGATCGTAAAGTCCAGTTGGGTTCGTCCGAAATTACAGGTTGTTCAATCGATTGTTGTTCAGGTCGCTGTGATTCTTCTAAGGTCATCGGGACAAATCGCCAATATTGTGGATTAGCATCCAAAAAGATTTGCATCGCTACCGGACATCGTGCCGAATGTTGATAAAGTTTCATGCGATCTTTCGCTATAACTCTAAAATATCAAAAAAAACAGTGATGTTATTTAATGAAAATTCGACCTATGTTTTCATACTCCTTTGTTTTTCCACGCGGTAAGTCACGTAAAACATTTTTTTGCCCAATTAAAAATTCATGGATGATCCGATTGCCATGTTCACGATGTTCTGAAACAGGTATAGAGATGAGTGTCTAGGATGCAATATTCCAATGATAGATACAACATACTCATTAATCGATCTTGTAAACTATACATGGTTGCACCAACATAATCATATTTTCCACAGGGGCATGTCAATACATAGATAATATTGCGTGTGTGACATGTCTGAAAATAAGATAAAGAAAAAAGCTTTCTTTTTTTTAACTCTGATTCGAATACAAAATCATTGAAGAAACATATACCGCTGAACAATTTAAGATGGCTTGATAGCCATTCACAAAGGTATGTGTATGAGCTTGAGCAAATTCAACAATGGATTTTTTCGATCTATATCTCATATCATATTGCGGATAACATAACCCACAATTACCACAGGCAGCTAATTCATATCGAGCTTCTGGTTCTTGTACACAGAAAAGACCTTCATTTAATGTACGTGGTCGAGCATGACGAAATGAACATGTTTTCATATAGAACAGATTTACTAGAAATAAACAAAGAAACTTTGAATCGATGCATTGAAGAAAAACAAAAAATTGAAGAAGAAGAATCTAATCAACAAAAGCCTACCATCAAATTTTAAAAAGAATTCCAAAGCAATTGGATATTCTTTTTCATTGATTCGTTGGATTTCTTGTGCTTGAATATTAAAGACACGCATCTGTTCATAAGCTAACATTCTCATGAATTGATTGAGTCGTGTGTAATTATAATCCAAAATAGAGAGATCAACTTTCAAACGTTCGAGTAAATCACCAAAATACATATGATATTTATCACGTAAAAATGAGGCTGTGGTTGGATCATTATCGATAATATGACAAGCAGGTTTAAAACCACCAGTACGTCGACGAATTAATTCCGTTTGAGTTAATTGATGAGCTACAAATTATCAAATTAGTTTCAGTACTCCCCTCCTATTCACAAATATACATGACATACGTGCTATGTTTGGTAACAATGGATCACCATCATTGAGTTGATTATCTTTTGTTGGATAGCATGGTAAAATAGGTAATCGACGATGAAGATTTGGAAATCGTTCTGTCAATGTTGTCAAGTTGGGTCTATTTGGTAAAGTCATTGGTACAATGGATCGATCGTCGATGTCCATAGTCGGTGTACATAAATCAATAATTTCTATGGTTTCAAAGGCAGCATGATTCCTGTCACTTCTACTCTTTACAACGAAGAATAGAAATAAAAAAAAAAAAAACAATGCTCAAGTTTTTTTTTTGTTTATTGTACATTTTGTAAAAATAAGATTACCGAATTGAGTGTAGTTGGTCGAATCGGTTTAGTTTCACGGGTGCTATTTCCAACTGTTTGTTCTTTTTCCTTGCTCATAAAAATGGATGATAAGCGTTGATACTGTTAACATATAAAAATAAAAAACTAAGAAAACAGACAGAAATAGCTAGAATTTATAGTACCGATCAGAACCGTAAAAAATAAACAGATCTACTTATATCGTACTAGACACAACACTCATAGTATGACTTCTTTCAATCTTGTGAAAATTTTACCAAACAAAAGCACAACTTGTAAACTGACCAGATAAATTTATTTTCTAATCTTAAATTAGTGAATTCGTATGTTGTTTTTTTTTTACGATTCATGTACATTTTTTTTTTGTTTATGAATTACTGAAGGCATACTTTCTTTGAGTGATCACAAATGTTAGAGGGAAAGATCTTTGTCAATGAAAGCCCAAAAAATGGAATGGAAAACTAGAAATGGAAAATGAACAGACCCGATAGAGTTGGTTCTACTGGTGCTGCTGTTGTGTTAATTGTAATTTTCAGTAGTGATGACACAAGTAGAATCGATGTTGTGGATGAGTGTAATAATCGATGAAATGTATTTTGTTCGAGAAAAGCAAGCCTATATATACTAAGTGGAATACGCTGTGGTCTGTTATACGACAGACCACGGCATTACGACAGAGAGGGGAGAAAATGACAGACCACGGCATCATACGACAGATCATGGCATAAAGAGAGATCATGTAGAAAATGACAGACCACGGTATATTGCGACAGACCATGACATCATCCGACAGATCACGGCATAAAGAGAGAACCTACAAAAAAAGACAGACCACGGCATAAAGAGAGACCATGCAGAAAATGACATACCACGGTATATTACGACAGACCACGGCATCATACGACAGAGCACGGCATAAAAAGAATTCATACAGAAAATGACAGACCACGTTATATTACGACAGACCACAGTATATCACGACAGACCACGGCATCATACGACAGATCACGCCATAAAGAGAATTCACAAAGAAAATGACAGACCACGGTATATTACGACAGACCACAGTATATTACGACAGACCACGGTATCATACGACAGACCACGGCATATAGAGAGAACACGCAGAAAATGACAGACCACGGCATACAGAGAGAACACGCAGAAAATGACAGACCACGGCATATTACGACAGGGGACGACATCTTACGACAGACCAGGGCATATAACGACAGACCACGGTCTACTATTATTGTTCCTAAGAGTTTTTAAATATCCATTTTGAAGTTTTGACATATCAATCTCTGGTTGATTTATTGAAAACATTCAAATTTAATTTTTTTGTGCTAACCGAATTCTTTATTTTAATATACCATTAAAAAAATGATTTAAGTTTTGCCTAGTAAGGATTGTCAATTTTTTTATGACTGAGTGACGAACACAAGCATACAATAGAGTTTAGACAGTACATGATGAAAAGTTCAATTGGAATTAGTACAAAAGAGATAAGTTGAAAGCATCAAAAAGAAAACAATAAAATCAAGTTTTTAATTATTTACGACTTTTGTTTGGATGGTTTGATGAAATTTCGATTGACATCAATGATGCAACATCATTCCGAAAAATCATTAGTCGACAATTTAATGTTCAGTCAATGTGATTAGGCAACTGTTGAATATTATATTCTGCACCCATCTCTATATATAAACTCGATAGACATTTTTTTTTATTCTTTTTATGTATTGGATACATAGAACCAGTAGAGTTAGAAACATTGTCTGTGAAGGTGATCACAAAAAAAAGGAGCATCAGATTTGGTATCGCAGTACTATTTTACTTAACATCATCACAATATGCTGACATAATTTGAATAGCAAAAAAACAGGTCTAGTACTTGTTGAATTGTTAATTGCCTCTACAGAATTGAAATCGAAGCAGAAATTGATGTTGCCAATGAATATTATGACTAACAGTGAAGACTACCTCTCTAGTGTTACTTTTGTATTCGTCTATCCTGTATGAATCGATCATTAGAAACAGAATACTTACAAACATAGAAAATAAGCTGTCACAATTCATTCTCAAAAAGAAAATCTCGGAGATGATTGATATAATACCATGTCGAGGAATAGTACAGTCGACAGATGAATACGTCAGAATTTCATGATTTTCAGAAACGAACATATATATGATAAATGAAAACCGATTCACATGAAGGAAAAAGAATTCGAATGAAAACTTTTAAGTACTAAATTCCAGTGTTGAGTATATGACATCAATGGTATTATCTATTTATTTTCAATGTGTCATAATGTTTCAAGTACAAAAACATGCAGTGTACAAAAAAAAAAGACAAAAAAAAGAAGAAAATGCAAATAGAAAAATACATACTATGGGCTATTTAATTTCAGTCTGAATTTATCAAATAAAAATAATACTTGATTTCAAACTGAAACGTGAGTCTAGGAGTGAGGGGGGGAGTGACTGAGGGTGTGGGTGTTGGTCTGGGACCCACACACACACCCACACCCATGGTGCGGGTGTGGGCGCGCGAGTGAGGGTGAGGGTGTGCTTGTGGCTTTGTGTACTATAGGCTTTAGTCCCCTGCACAAGGGACTAAGCGGGGACTAAGCTTTTTGTGGGGGGGACTAAGGGGGACTTTGCAGGACTAGGGGGGACTAAGGGTTTTTAGTGGGACTACGTAGTATCAAACGAGAAAAGTTTGATTCGGAAGAAGTTGGTGCGGTTTTTTTGATTTTAGAATTCAGTTTGAAATAAAAAAGCCCATAGACTCGAAAAATAGTGCACAATCTAAATCTTTTCATTACTATTGAACAGTGTATGATTAGTGATGCTGTTTGGCACGAACAAATTCACTGGATGACCAATCACCAGGACACGTTCGAACTCTATTTGACTTAAACAAACCAATTTCGATGAATACACGACCTAAGAATATAAAATTTTGATACGTCATTGAATTGTGGATAGTGAAGATACTATTACCTTTTTTAATAAATTCATTCCATGCCAAATCATTATTTGTTACATGATAATTACATTGATCACCTATCATAATGAATATATTCTAATCAATGTAATTGTAATTGATCTCAATCATCCTACCGGTCACTTCATCGAGAAACCAGGTGTTTTTGTTTGCAACTTCTTTCAAAACTATTTGTATATACATAGTAGAAGAATTGATGGCTGTTGTTGTTGCTGATGATGTACTTGATGGTGTGCTATCGGTTGAGATACATACATATTGTAGATTTGGCAATTCAAATTGACGATAAATTTCCATCAAGATGTACTCTTCTATTTTTTTTTGTCGAAACAAAATAGGCACATATTAAAGCATAAGGCGAAATGTATTACGAAAAAAAAAACAAGACTCTTTCTTACTCTTAACATTTGTATGACAGGAGATGGCATACATCTGTCTTGCTAGTCGAGAATTGCTTTCGATCCGTTTTGCCAAATTTTTAACACCATGTAGATCAAAACGAAACTTGTGCGCCATCATGTCATGTGCTGAAACAGAGATAATTATGATGCCATCGAACAGATTTTTGTCTGATACAAAAATAACTCGTTCATACTCATCTGTCCATATTTGGCAAAGGGTCGATCATGTTCACTAATGGGCCCAACCATGTTTGTTGGTGGATAAGGACGACAATTTATCTGTGTTGACATGTTGAATGGCATCATTCTCATTTTTATTGTTGATTCACTTTCTTTTTCTCTTATCATTGACAAATCCAACACTTCTGAAGTTGGCGAATGTGTTGTCGTATCTGAATTTTCTGACACATTTGAAGAAAAATGATAAAAAATAAGAATAAACGTAAAATGTTTACCATCATTTAATGTTATGGTTGGACAAGCAATACCGGTTAAATCTGAACAAAAAAGTATGATACTGTATAGAAGTCGAATGCTTTTAGTAACCATACCACTCCAATCATGTGTAGGAGCACTATCTTGAAATATATTTGATAATGATGGTGGTGTTGGTAAGTGCTGATAATCTGCAATGAGATTCAAGATTGAAGGTGGTAGTTGTACATTGTCAGCATTAAAAAGATCAGTTGGAAAGACATTGGCTATATTGCAGGAAACACTGCTCTATTTGATTATATTTAGTAGTGAAAAAAAAAATAGAATGAGTTTTTCTAATACTAAATATAAAATAATAGTTTTGTTCACATGTGCATCACTTACTGTATAAGCATCGAACGCTACCGGTAAACAAGCACTGTTGTATATGTTCAAATCACTTCGATCATACGTCCAATTTCCATTTGTGAACATCGATGGTGTTAACGGCTGTGACGCACATTGGTATTCTCGATCATTGATATCTTTCCCACGAGAAAAAAAGAATACAAATCGATTTAGAACTTGTAGATTAGTTGAATGAAAAGTTCATTTTTTTTTTACTTTGTACAGATGAAATGTTATCCATGATTATGTTACTGTTATTATCCCTAAACATGACGATGCTAATGATGACAAAATCAATTGATATTTAACCACAATTGAAGCAAAAACGAATGAACTGTATCTTGTAAGGTATCTCTAACAAAAAAAAGGACTATATAGAATATTGTGAACAGTATTTTTAAAATGAGAAAATGATAATGCAAGGCAACACATGTTCCAGTGTGTATAGTGAACAACAGGCAACATGTGCAAACAAAAATACATTGACAGACATTATACAATAGTAAAATATATCACATGTATAAACAAGTGGAATTGAGGAGAGATGCTGAATTCGAATGATAGTGATTCTTATTACAATGAAAGGCAATCTAATATTAACTTATTCTGATAATATGATTAGATTCAAATGAAATGAAAATCGATACCGGACAGCTTTTATATTCTAGCGTGAATCTAGAGAAAGAGAAAAATCTATTTTTCCTGGCCGTCAGCTTTAGCGCAAAATCTATTTTCTTCTCTATTTTCGTTGTCTAGACGTCCTCGGTCAAAATGCTGGTTCACGGATAAATTATTGACCGTTTATCAACAAAGTCTGTCTTCGGTCAAAGGTTAATCGGATCACCCCTAGATTTAATCATTCAGTGGATTCTATACATCTCAGAAATATTCGATATAGATACGATGTGTTTAAAGATTTGAATGAAACTATACAATACCAACACTGAGCAGTATTGGAGAAAATGTTTCTCAAAAACAAAAAAACGATTTTTTGATGAAATTTTTCGTTCTACAAGTGATCATTATAATTGAACAGTTTGTTAAACATCTCAGAAAAATGAAATTTTTGTTTTTCTTTTTAGAGAAACCTATTTTCAGATATGATGAAAGTATGAATATTCAGTCTAAACTTAGTTATTAATTTTCAAGTAATTCTTCTTTGCATAATATGATGAACCATGACGTTCGACAATATCCAGGGTTGAAAGTTCACAGTTGAAAGGTCAAAACAACATCTCATATATATATATATATATATATATTATCAAAGCGTTCTAGACATCGGTCAACTTATCTAAGAAAGAGGTCATCCGTCTCAAAGGATGCGCTCGTTCGATCTATATTTCGCATATTTTCCTTTTTTTTTTTCGTTCTGGCTGTCATGTACATGTGATGCTAATAACAGAATAACAGCCAGTTACTATCCGCAGCATAGAACTAGAAACGAAAAAAAAATTGTTTTTCCAATTTTCCTATCGAAGTCTAGACTAGACCGTTTCGCTGCTATAAATAGTGCTGCACAATTCATTCGGATTTAGTTCATCACGATCATTACCAACATCAATATTTACAAACTCTTCCTCTATTTCAAATTATTTGTTTTTTTGGATATGTCACGTAAAAGAAAATCAAAAATTGTCTTACATGCAACTATTTGTGTTTGTTTTGTATTACTATAGGTCACCAAAATTCTTCTCAACAACAACAACATCAACGTTGTCGTCATCACCGTCATCGACGTCACCATAAAGTAGCACAGCGCATCGAAATATCCAAAGATACTGTATCATCCAAAATACAAGTTTCAATAACATCGGATGGGTATGTATTGATTTTGTTCAAGGTGTGAATCAATCGCTCGATCAACACATCAGTCTATCTTCTTTCTATTCTTGTTTGAGACATTTGACTTCATATTCTATAATATATCTACCTTATAGGCCAGTTGATACCACGGTGGTATTGGATCCGTCGGTTTTTGGTATAACAATACCGACTGTCTCGTCACCACTCTCACCACAACCGTCGTCATCACAATCATCACCACATCGTACACTTTCAACATGTGAATGGGAGACACCAGTCAGTCCGTCAGTACTTGATCTTCCAGCACCATCATTCATAAAAAATATACCGTTGGACATCAGTAGGGGAAAATAAAACTCTATTGAACATTGTAAATAAATCTTTTTGTTTTTTTTTGTTTTCTTTTCTATTGTCGTTTTTTTGTCTCTTGTGTTCTTGTTCAGACTTGGTTTCTATTTGTTTATTTCTTTTTGTTTTTTGTTTTGCGTTGTACCTTTTTGATACTATTAAGGAATAAACATAATGATTCAGGAACATGATGTTATTTAACATAGAGAAGTTTCTTGCACAAACAATACTGTTAACTTCTAAGGATGAGCATGTAGTTTAGAAGTGTTTTGTTTTTCTTCCAAAATCATTGCCTTTGTCTTTCGATTCCGTTCGATATAGAATTTATCGACATCTAATAAGAAAATACTCATAAATGGTTTCCTTTGCCTTAATCAAAGAAGTTGGGTACCATAAACAAAAAGAAAAAAGTATTCAATGATTCAAAGGCAATTTTACAGAGATGTGTGGTATATTCGCTCTGAAAACTTTGTGTTTTTCAAAATAAAGATTTTTTATCAGTCATATTAGGTGCCTGGTCACTATTCAATTCTCGCTTCCTCTTCTCACACAAATTAATCTTGGATATGAGCTTTCATAAGGCAAAATGACGACAGCTCTTCATTTTGTCTAAAAAAATATCCCATTGATCATGCACAGGAGATTGATCTTTACTCACGTTTTCATCTGTTTCTTTTTTCGTACTTGAAGTATTGAGCATCGTCATTTCGCTAATGCTAGTCACTGAAGTGGAAACAAATTGAATTGACTATGTCTGTTTAACTCAATGTGTTGAATCTTCTCCTTTCCACGCAATCATTCACCAGAAACGGTGATTCAATGGATCTTACATGTTTCCCCTAGAACTAGCCCTGCGAGTGTACATAATTATCGAACGTTAGCGTATTAAGTGATTCTAAGAAATGAAATGAAAAATATTGGAATGATTTCAATGGTTTCAAAAACAGGAAAAATTTTTGCAATAGTGTCGGTTAACCTGAATCGAATATTTCTTTTTATTTAAAAATTTTTTCCTTCAAAGACAGAGTGAACTAATAAATTTATTTTTTTTTTTCAATTTGAAGACACATTTCGATAGAAATTGTGTATATCTTCACTGAATCTGTACAACAGCGACATCTTTTTTAATATTGTTAGTGGTCGGTGAACTTAGTGGCGGTATTTTTTTTTTCGTTCTGTCGGTCACTGTCCAGGGACGAGATGTTGT